AATAGCCAACAGAATGTCATTTATTGATTGTCCAATGGGAATAGAACACTGTTTCATGCAGTGTGGAATGACACATAATCATCTACTGTGACAAAGCATGGGTGGAAAAAGCCCTGAGCTTGGAGTCAGAAACCCGGGACTCCATTCTTGACTTTTTTACTAATACAAATTTATGTTATTTGCAAAGCCTCTCTAAGTATTCACTTCTTCATCAATAAAACAGACACGATATTATATATCTCACAGGATAGTTTTAAGGATAAAATGAGATAATAGATGTAAAATTTCTAGAACCACGTTAGGCATTCATGAAGTTAATCTGCAGGAGGTAGGGGGCAAGAGGAGGGAGAACATTAGGACAAATGCCTAATGCATGCAGGGCTTAAAACCTAGATTTTAACCTGTTTACCCTGTGGTTGATAGGTGGAGCAAACCACCATGGCACATGTATACCTAGGTAGCAAACCTGCATGTTGTGCACATGTACTTCAGAACTTAACGTTTTAAAAAAATTAATCTGTGCAACCATTCCATTATACATCCTCCTATGTATTCCAGTTGCTAAAAGAAGTAACTTTCAAATAAATACAAGCAAACAGCCAAAAATAACTTTTAAAGAGGACTCAAAACTTTACTTCTTGGAAAAACATGAGAATATCCAACTTAAATTGTTAGTAAAACTATTCCCAACCTCATTCCTCCTCCTCCTCTTCTTCATCTTGATCTTTGTCCTTCCCACAATCCTAGGAATCATCTTATTTTGCTAAATCCCAACCCACCTCTCAAAACAGCTTGACCAACATCTCCCAGAGTATGGAATTTTTTTTCTTATTCACCTTTATCAGGGCGATGCATATAGCCTATGCACCTAAGTCCTTCACTTTTTCTGTAGGTCTTTTTTTCTTCCCGTTGTTTTTATCCGATTGTTTTTATCAAGCAAGTCTAGGAATGGGGCATGAGGGATACATATACTACTCAAAGGTCAGCGATTGTGGAGAGAAAACCAAGTAGGAAAAGACAATATTCTTCTTTTCAGAAAAGAGTGAAAGACTGGGAGCACCTGTATTTTAAAACTTGCTTTACTCAGTCATATTTACAAAAAAGAGAGATTGAACGCCAGTAACAGAACACAGGATGAAACTGGAAGTTCAGTCAACTCTTCCCAAGGTGTCTGGAGTCAAAGTTTGGAGAAAAGCTGCTATTTCTGATTGGACAGTCAGAGCTAGAAGAGCAGGTCCCAGGTGCTTCTTTGTATGGTGGCCATCCTATCCAGGAACTCTGGATATCCCTCCGTGAGCAGAGCAGGTGTTTGCTCTCCTAAACATTTCCTGTGGCATCTATTCTATTGCACCTGAAGTCTGCTCTATCACAAATTCCTTCTTATAGGTACAGGCAGTGACCATGCAAATATATAACTGCAGTTTTGCAGAAAGAAGAACTATATCTCTGAGCTCAACAAAAATGTCACATCCTTTCCACTGTCTTCAGCTCTCACAACACTAATCTCTAAATCAAATTGTATACCTCTTTTCTGCTAACATACTTGGGATTGCTCCTCAGAAACAGATTCATTCAACACCTCAGTAAAAAAATGTGGCAGGTGTTTACATGATTCCTTTAAAGCTGTTTCTTGTGTTTTATTTTTATCTTTTTGTGGCTTGCTTTTTACCTTGAGGGGTAAGTTTCAGGAAAGATGAGGTTAATTCAAAATTGTCATCATATTTGTTTAAGTCACCTTTGGTTAATATTCTAGCATTTCTGTGGAAGAGACCACTGTAGGTCAAGGTGTTTTATTTCATCTGATTTAATCTGACTTTTTATCTCATCCATTTTTTCCCCCTTGGGTAAATATCAGTCTTATTGATGTTTCTAAACCTAGGTAGCTTCTCACAAGTTTTCCTCATACCAACCACTTCTCTTCCTTGTTCAAGCCATTCTCCCAGTGGGAAAGTCTGTGCCAAGTGATACCCAGCCAGCATCTCAATCAAAATCCATCTTCAGACTTCCTTCTCTCTGGCACTCCTTCCTCATCATGCTCATCATACTCAGTTCGCTTATTATCTCTGCACATTCCTATGTTACTGATAGAGTGTGATCTGGCATCTGTTAGCTTATTGTGTTGCTGTTGTTTTCATTTATTTTTTAAATTAAATTCATATAAATAACTATTTATTGAGCACCTACTGTGTGTGTTTCTGTTAAAAGTCTCCAAGAAATACAATCATGAGTAAGACAATCTGTGCTCCATATATTTTTATTTCAACCTTTTACAGAAACTAAAATTTTTCAAAATATTTTAACAGCTTTATTAAGATATAATTCCTATGCCATACAATTTACCCACTTAAAGTGTAGAGTTCAATGGCTTTTATATATTCACAGAGTTGTACATCCATTATCACAATTTCAGAACGTTTTCATTAGACCCCCCTCCAAAAGAACACTTGCACCTCTGAGCCATCACTTCCCAATCCCCTATCCCCTCCCATTCCCTTGTCCTAGGCAACCACTAATCCACTTTCTGTCTTTATAGATTTGCCTGTCCTGGACACATAAAGGGAATTTTGTATAGATGGAATCATATAACCTGCAGTTCTTTGTGACTGGTTTCTTTCATTTAACACAGTGTTTTCAAGTTCATCCTTGTTGTAGCATGTATCAGCACTGCCCTTCCCTCCTTCCTTCCCTCCCTCCTTCCTTCCTTCCTTCCCTCTCTCCCTCCCTCCTTCTCTCCCTTTCCCTCTCCCTCTCCCTCTCTCTTTCTTTCTTCCCTTCTGTCCCTTTTCTTCCCGCCCTTCCTTCTTTTCCTTCTCTCTCTCTCTCTCCTTTCAACAGGATCATCTCACTCTGTGACCCAGTTTCAAGTGATCCTCCCCCCTCAACCTCTCAAGTAGCTGGAACCACAGCTGTGTGCCACAACACCTGGCTAATTCTTTTGTTGTTTTTAGAGATGAAGTCTTGTTTTCCTCAAAGCTCAGGCTAGTTTCAAACTCCTGGCTTCAAATGATCCTCCCACCATATCTCCCAAAGTGTTGAGATTACGGGTGTAAGCCACTGTGCCTAATCTTATATATATATATATATATATATATATATATATATATATATATACATATATATATATATTTTTTTTTTTTTCCAGAGAAGTTTTATGATCACTCAAAAATTGAGAGTAAAGTACAGGGATTTCCCATACATACACAGCCTCTCTCATCATCAACATCCCGCAACAGTGTGGTGCATCTGTTACAATTGAGCTTCCTTGTTTTTTTTGCTTTTTTTTTTCAACCCTTCTTATGTTATTTCCCATGGCTATTTTGTATCTATCTTTATTAGCTATCTCCTTTATTATCTTGCCCTCCAGGACTGATGGTTCAGCCCAGGGGCTCAACATAGCTGATTAGAAGTAGACTTTCAACCCAGGCCCATTTTCCTGATTTAGTGTTGGGAGTGGGGGTGGAGGGAATTTTGTTTGTTTTGTTTTAGAGATGTGCATTGCTTTAAAACAGGGAGAGACAGTCTGAAGTACAGAAAGGATCTGTGTCTTTAATATTAGAGAAAGGTAGGTCGGCGCTTTAGTTTTGCCTTTGGCAAATTCATTATCAGTCTAAGTCTCAGCCTCCTTATCTGTAAAATGAGTTGGGTAATGCCCATCTGGAGGAGTTCTTGGGAAGATTAATGCAATAAGCACCGAAAGCACCTCTTTGGAAGGTTCAAGGAAAGGAAACTGGATTCATTAGCTGGGTTGGCAGAATTCCCGGGCTTTCCAACCCTTCACCGTAGGCCTAGTAACGAGCACTCCTAGCAGGCTAGCACGCTGGCCTCCTGCCCCTCCAGAGTGTCTAGCTTGTGGGCTGGGGGCTGGGTATGGACAGGATACCTGGAGGGGATCACATCTAACTTCCAAGGGTTATCCTGGAAAGGCTCGACAAATCACTCATTCATTCATTCATTCGTGTGTGTGTGTGTGTGTGTGTGTGTCTGTGTGTGTGTGTGTGTGACGGAGTCTTGCTCTTTCTCCCAGGCTGTAATGCAGTGGCGCGATCTCGGCTCACTGCAACCTTTGTCTCCCAAGTTCCAGCGGTTCTCCTATCTCAGCCTTCCGAGTAGCTGGGATTACAGGCACTTGCCACCACACCTGGATAACTTTGGTATTTTTAGTAGAGACGGGGTTTCACCATGTTGATCAGGCTGGTTTTGAACTCCTGATCTCAGGTGATCCGCCACTCCCCCTTGGCTTCCAAAAGTGCTGGAATTATAGGTGTTAGCCATCGCGCCTGACCCATTCATTCATTTTTATCTGAACCTGCCTTCCAGACCTCTGCCTTTAGAAGGTTTAGTGACAGGACCCTTATACAAGTCTACTTGGTTTATTTGAAAGCTGCTTGAATAAGAATTATAATAATAAACTGGAGGATAACATAAAAGGATCCTTGCAGAGGATTCTTCCGTTTCATCGAATCGCAGAGTTAGACGACGGCTCAAAGACCTCAACCCCCTTATGGGTCGGACAAGGAGGTTTTTCATTCTGCCCTGGATCCTCTTACAATAGCCTAGCGGGAGCTGGCCCTCAAAATGATGAAGGAATAAACGAACGGAGGGATGGAGAAATGAATGATAACGAAAGAATGAATGCGTTAGGGCTGCTTGTTTGCTGCTATTTCCTTCACAATGCTTTTTAGATTTCCGGGTCCATCTCCTCCTTCACCGTTTCTCTCCCCCTCCCTCGGTCTCTTCTCCAACTCGTCTCTTATTGAAGGGCGCCGCGTTCCCGCGCTCCTCCCCTTTTCCTCGACCCGCCCCGCCCCGCCGCCTCGAGGCCCCGCCCCGCCGCCTCGAGGCCCCGCCCCACCGCCTCGAGGCCCCGCCCCGCCGCCCGAGCCTGGCGGGAATGAATGGCAGCGTAGCCTCCGCGCCGCTCGGGGCGCCGATTGGCTGACCGGGGCGCTGACGCGCCGGCGACCGCGGATGCACGCAGGCGAGCGGGGCCGGCGGGGGCGGAGCCGGGCTCCGGGGCGGGGCGCAGGAGCCCCGGGGCGGAGGAGCCGGGTAGGCGGGAGGCGGGAGGCGTCGGGGCCGTTTAAGCGGCCTCCCTCCCGCCCCCAGCCGCCCGGTCTGGCCCCAGCCCAGTCCCGACCCCCGGCCTGGCCCACTCCGGCCTTACCCGGCCGAAGGGTTCCACTGGACACGCAGGCGGCCCCTGGAGCAGCACAAGCCCATGAGGGCCGCGCGCCCGGCCGCCGGTGCTGACGAGACGGAGCTCCCGGCCCCCGAGGAGGAGCAGAGGATCAATGCGGTTCAAGAATCGATTCCAGCGGTGAGAGGGTTGGCGTCCCGGTCCCGCGGCCAGTGTCAGGAGCGGGTCCCCGGATCCCGCCGTTAAGCGCGCGTGTCCCCTTTTCTCACCTGGATGCATCCGGGTTGGATCCTGCACCGTGGCCCGGGATCAGCTTCCAGGGGAGTCCCTTCCCGGCTGTCCCCGGGTGACCCCTTTCCTCCGAGGATGGGAGCTCGTGCCTGACCCGGGTCTCCCCTAGCGATCTGCAGACAGCGGATGGATTCCCGCACCGGGACCCCTAGCCTCCCTCCTTCTGGGGGATCCTTTTGCTTATGGGGCTGACCCTCCCGACCCCCGTACAGGCCGGGCTCTGGCTCGCTCTGGGAACTCGAACCCCAGCCCCCGGAGCCGCCCTCGAGTCCTGCAACCTGGCTTGCGTCTCCATCCCTTTACCTCTAGGGCGGGGGTCTCGCGGGGCGCGCGGAACTGGGTGGCGCTCTGCGGAGAGATTTGTCGTAAAGCCGGGTGCTGGGCATTTTGGGAGCTTTGTCTGTGAACGACCCTAGCAACAGGGAAACTGAGGCACGCTCCGCCAGCTTTTCCTTCCCTGGCCGTGTAGGGGCCTTGCTGGTTCTCCAGCTGAGCGTCTCAGGGCGGTGCTATTTTGGGCTCTGCGAAGGGGCAAGTTAGCTTTCGGGTGGCGAGACCTGCTGCGGAGGCGCCACTGTTAGGAAACGAGGATGAGGAACCGTGGAGGCGCCACCGGAAGGCTGACCGGCTGCTCATTCACTGTAGAGCTGGTGGGAATGCCAGGCTGGGGGGCGCCGTGGCCTTACTCCCCACCGGGCCTCCGCCGTCTAACAATGGATGGAGTTTAGCCCATGGCTCTGAGAGGAACTCCAGGCTTTTCTTTTTTGTTTAAGTGGGTGAAAGTTCACCTCCCCAGGGCTTGGGGTAATTCTGCATCCCTTTGTGTGAATTCCCGGACCTTCACCACAGGCAGCCTTGCTGGGGGTGTAGTGACAGGGGAAATTTTAAGAAATGCGTGAACTCTTCCCAGAAGGTTGTTGAGCTTTTAGACACTACCTTTTATTTCAGAATTTTAAAGTACACATTTTTCTTCTTCTTTCTAATCTCCATGCCCTCACTCCTCACTCATCCATCTCATTCCTCCCCCAGTCCCAAAATGTAAAGGAGCCAGCAAATAAATGCACAGAAGAGTTACCATGGTCTCTGGGCCACCAGGAGGGAGATCAGCTTGAAGACGTGGATTGACTTCTGAATATATTGCTCATCAGTTAGGGTGTTGAATGCCTGGCATTGTTCCCCCAGTGGGAACTTTGTATCGGTGTGTCTAAGGGCAAAATGGAACCGTGGCGTTCTGACTTTAGAAGCTGATGTCAGAAATGAAGACCGGAGGGGCTTTTAGAGAGACTGTAACATGCACTCAGGCATGAGCAGTGAAGCCCTGTGCATGCGGTTTGTTTGATTTGGTTTTACTTCTCTACACGTCTGTGCTCTTCCTGTTTTTAGAGAACAGTAGCGATATTCTGTGAAATTGCCCCTTCCTTATTTGATTTAAGAGTTTGTCTTTCTTTCCTATCCCTTTGGATTCCATAAAAACAAACAAACAAAAAAGACCCTGCTTAATTATTTGTTTCACAAACCTTAAAACAGTGTTAAAAGAAATAAAACACTTCATTGAGTATGCTGCCCTCTCAGCTTATTGAACTGACTTTTAAATTAAAAAAAAATTTTTTTTTTTGCTAGACACTGATCTCTCCATTCCTTATTAGCACAGTTGTAATGTGATTTTTGCACTCTATATTTTTCACTTAAAAACTAAAAATACAGGCATTTTATTTTGTTGTGGCATAGACTGTAATTTTCTTGGGGGCTTGTATTTTGCACTCAATGGATATTTAACAGTTTCTTGATGTCGTCTAGACCTACCGTGATTTTCTTTGAGGATTTCTGTGATCTCATAATTTCTTGGTTCTCTATCTTAGGCTAGGTTGGAAACGTGTTTCTAAGTATCAATTTTAACTTGGAAATAAAGCCTGTAAACAAAAAGTAATGTAATGAAAATGTCCTGATTTTTGTGGTTCACACATTAAAATACTGAGAGTACTATTCTGCACCTTTTAATATTGTGTTCTTAATGTATCTTTCTGAGCATTCCCAAGTAGGTAAATTACAAAGGATCTGGAGGGAGGGACATACTGTCTTTGAAGGGAGGTGTACTTCCTCCCTGGTAGATTTATTGGAACTGGATGGAGGAGCATGAGGAGGGTATATGCAAGATGACTTCTCAACAAACTTAGGATGTGAAAAATTCCACTGGAACACATAGACATAGTTTATCTTCCTTGTTTTATCTGTTTAACACTTGAGTATCCCCAAGATAATTACACACACGTAGACAAACACAAAGTCATTCTCTCCCCTTCACAGCATCTCTGATTGATGGCAATAACTGCTAACATTTTTTGAGTGCCATTTATCTATGCCAGACACTGGCTGGGCACTTGTATATTACTCATCTCATTCTCAACTATAACTCTGAAAGATATAACTTTTATACCCATTTAATAGAAAAGTAAATAGGTTTAAAGAATGAAAGGGAACTTGCCCATAGTCACACAGCTAGGAAGCAGGTAGACCCAAGAGTTCAATTTAATGTCTGTCTCTCCTCCACTCATGTTGCTAGCTCACCTCTTTCTTTCTCTGACTCCCTGCCCACACCACATCTATGTGTATTGCTTGTAGGCATAGGATCCACAGAGCTTCTACTGTATCTTCTTGTTGGTGTGTACTCATTTCAACAGTCTTGCAACCAAAAATCCAAGGAAAAAGAAACCCTCTTCTTCAGCCCCAGCCTCATGATCATATAGCTAGCTTCAAAACTGAGTATGTGAGAAAGCGTCTGAATCTAAAATATTAGGAAATCTTTCATGGCTACATATTGTCTTTCTTCCCATGTTCTTAAAGCACTAAGTCATAGGCATGGGGTAGTCTCCTTATATACATGTCTTCCTTCATTTAATAAGTCAAGATTGGCACTATTGGCAGTGGACACTTTTCCTGAACAAATATGCTGTCATAAAGGGGAGCTAATAGTTAGAGGGGTCCACTTACATTGCAATGTAAGTGATGTTGAAGGCGCCCTTGAAATATCCATTGTCTTGGCCTTTAAGTGTTTTCTTTTTGTAAGATTCAGCGTTCTCTTGGTTTCCAGGCTGCCTGTTTCTCTTACTTACAGAACCTGCCGGGTCCACAGTAAAACTAATTGGCTATAGGGTATCTCTGTTAAGACAAAGTACTTCAGCAGTAGCTGGAATGTCTTTCTATTCATTCAACAATTATTAAGCTCCAGCGATAAGCTGGGCTTTGTACTTGAGTTTAGTAATAGAAAGGTGAACAAGATAGCCTTCATGGAATTCACACTACAGTGGGGAAAGATGAAATAAAAAATAACCTAAAACAAATCAAAGTCTTACCAATTGTGACATGGGGCTGTGGTCAGATGTGGAGTACTGAAATGATACTTCAGTTAGGATAGTCTGGAAAACCTCTCTGAGGAGGTGACATCTGAGCTGAGATGGAAGGATGAGAAGAGACCTGGGCATTCTGGAGAAGATCCTAGACAGAAGTAAACAAGTACGCATGCCCAGAGGCAGACACAACCTTGAAGTCTTTAAGGAGCAGAAAGGAGGTGGTATAGCCAGAGGGTAGAGAGAGAGAAAGATGCCATCCTGAGACTGGAAGAGTAGTAAGGCCCAGAGCAGTCAGGGCTTGTGGGCCTCTGAACACTGTGTTGCAGGGCTATTGTAAGCACTTTGGGAAGCCAGAGGCAGACTTTAAGCTGGGATTGGGGTGTGTGATGTGATCTGGGTTTTTGTTGTTGTTGTTGTTGTTTGTTTTTGAGACAGGATCTTGTTCTGTCAGCCAGACTGGAGTGCAGTGGTGCCATCACAACTCCCTGTTGTAGCCTTGACCTCTGAGGTCAAGCAGTCCTTCTACCTCAGTCACAGGTAGCTGGGGCTACAGTTGTGCACCACTACACCTGGCTAATTTTTACATTTTGTGTGTGTGTAAAGATGGGATCTCACTATATTGCCCAGGCTGTTCTCAAACTCTTGGGCTCAGGTGACCTCCTGCCTCAGCTCCCCAAAAGTACTGGAATTACAGATGTGAGCCACCATGCCCAGCCCCTGATCTGTTTATAACAGAAAACTGTGGCTGCTAATATAAAGAAGAGAGTCTATAGAGGGACACGCAGGAATATTAGTTAAGTGACTTTGTACAGACCTGAGACGTTAGTTCTTTATTTAAGGTAGGAGCTGTGGAGCTGAGTTTACCATGTCACTACCACCCATGCCCCACCTAACCCCATGGCTAATTTTTGTATTTTTAGTAGAGATGGGGTTTAGCGCTTTTGCCCAGGCTGGTCTCTAACTCCTGGGCTCAAGTGATCTGCACGCTTCAGCCTCCTAAAGTGGTGGCATTACAGATGCACACCACCATGCCTGGCTAATTTTTGTATTTTGAGTAGAGACTGAGTTTCTCCATGCTGGCCAGGGTGGTCTCGAACTCCTGACCTCAAGTGATGAGGTGGACTTATTAGAAATATATTTTGAAGGTAGTGTTGATGGTACTTCCAATGAGGAACACTTGCAGGATTTGATCTGCTGAGATCAGCCTCTGAGATCTGCTGGTGCGTTGCAGATCTACTCAGTGGGCACAGTGCATTGGGCTGAATTCAAGTGTGTTCGTGTGCTAACAAGTGTCCCCAGGTCTCTATCTGTTCTTTCCCTCCACAGTTTCGAAATTCTGTCCTGGCATGGGAGAGGGGTATGGGGGAAGGGGGAGGTGATAAGAACACTGGGCAAAGAAGAAGGCAGGAGAGTTTTGAAAGAAAGTGAGGAGATGAGTGAAAAGAAACCCTGCTTAACTAGTAGCTTTATTAAGTGCAGTTCCCACTCCCAGGACTAAATCACCTTCCTTCAAATGCTCTAGGGCTTGCTGGTTACTCAAGCATTGAGTAACCATTAGGGCCACTCTGCCTTAAATAGCGATGTCTTCCATAAATGGATGCTGTTTTCCATAACCAGCACTTGAACCTTTCCCATTCTTTTTTGGGGGAAGACATGAAGGCCAGAGTGTGGGAGTTGATTTACATTTTACATCTGCTTTTCCATTTAGGTCTTAGGAATGATTTCTTCAGAAGGCTGTGGAGGAGGCTTGATTGCACCCTAGCAGGTTAAAGAGAAATGCAAAAATTGTATTGTACTTTCCCAGCAGAACAATTACGCTGTCTATCTTACTGAGCTCCAGATGTAGAGAGTTGCTTCTAGGATAGTTACCCTTATTTTTCCCTATTGCTTGGGTCTTGCCCTGTGTATACCTTTCTACTTTATTTTTAATGTGAATTATTCCAGGTGATCAGGGGACTAAGCTGTCACAAACATAGCCATCCAGTTTATTTGTTTTTTAGGAGAAAATGTGAAAGTCTATCCCTGTTGCTGGGTAATGGCTTGACTATTTTTAGATTGGGCTGCCAGAGATATAAATTGCTATTTTAGTCTGGAGCCTGGTGGTGGGTAGACAAATCCTACTTACTGCACCCTACACAGAGCACTTTGAATTTCATCTAACTTCAGCCATCTTGGGACCTTGCTTTTTACCCTTGAAAATTCCTAATAGGGTATGCTACTTACAGCTCTTTTGGGTAATGATGTGGTATGTCCTCTAATACTTGGGACACTTTTAAAGCATTCTTCCCAAGAGTGTAGTTATTTTCTTTTTTGCTAATGAGAGCTGTATAGCAACACTCTTGTCCCTTAGGAAATTAGTAAAGTTATTTAAAATATTATCAGGGGAGAAAAGATGATGCTTGATAATAGTTAACTATATTTGAGAATAACTTGGATAAATTTTGAAACTACTAGCTGTATATTTCTCTTTAGCAGTTGGTTTTCAAACCATCTGGTAGATTATACTCAGCAAGTACGTATTTTGTACACTAGTTAAAATTTTTAACCCATCAGTGGGCCAAGTGAAATATCTTCACTGTCCCAAATTCATTCCCCAGTGGATTTTCCATCTGAACTATCTGTATTGTGTTAATAGTGGCTGCCACTTTATTTTTATTTATTTGATCTAAAGATAACAAGCTTTTCTTTTCTTTTCTTTTCTTTTTTTTTTTTTGAGACGGAGTTTCGCTCTTTTTACCCAGGTTGGAGTGCAATGGAACGATCTCGGCTCACCGCAACCTCTGCCTCCTGGGTTCAGGCAATTCTCCTGCCTCAGTCTCCTGAGTAGCTGGGATTACAGGCATGCGCCACCATGCCCAGCTAATTTTTTGTATTTTTTTTAGTAGAGATGGGGTTTCACCATGTTGACCAGGATGGTCTCGATCTCTTGACCTCGTGATCCACCTCCCTCGGCCTCCCAAAGTGCTGGGATTACAGGCTTGAGCCACCGCGCCCGGCTGATAACAAGCTTTTCTTAACTCAGGGAGAGAGTATTGGCTGGTCTTTTATTCATAAACTGGGCACCCTCTAGAATGGCTTGGTCATGCATTGCAGCCAATTTTTGGCAACTTGGTTCTACTATTTGGTTCAACCTTGTACCATTTTTCATTGTTTTTATGAATAAGGTAATGAGTAGTTAGAACTCATTAGTGGCACAGAATACTACCCCCCGCCATACACACTTCTTTAAACTAACTTGAGCAAAAGGATGATTTATTGTGCAAAGCCTGTTGACGTCTTATAGACTCTAAGCACAGGAATGCAGTAGGCCTTTGCGACCTGAATGCTGTTGGGAGTTTTTTTTTTAACCTATGTCTGTTTCTGTGCATCTGATTCTTCCTTCCTTTATTCAGACAGCTGCTTTTTTTTCTCCTCCTGAAGAAAAAAGGATTAGTTAGACTAATCCAGAATCCCTCATGAAACCCGTTGTGGGTATGGATTGGGTTTTTGGTGGGGAGGGCATCCTCACTCAGCATACTGAAATGGAAGAATGCTGTCCTCCCTTTAGGTCCTGTGGTATTCATGCTTTTCACTGTGCTGCTGATTGTCACAAAGTTAGCCCAAAGGGAAGTGTGGAATATGGGCACATGTCTGTATGTGTAACAGATTTTGATATTTAGATACATACACACATATGTGTATATATGTGAATTTTATAGCTAAAAGTATCAGGTAGTAGTCATGTGTTTGGTTTTTGAAGCGAACTCTGAATTCAGGGAGAACGAAGGTGAAAACATACTTCCTGTTTTAAGTTGCCTAGAGGTAGCCAGGTATCATTTATTTAAGCTGTCTGATGCTAGACTGGTAATACAATATAGGGAAACTAGTGGGACAGGCCTGTTAATCATGGGATGTAGGTCTTAAAGATGTGCCTGTATAATTTTTTTTTTTTTTTTTTTTTTTTTTTTTGAGATGGAGTTTCACTCTTGTCGCCCAGGCTGGAGTGCAATGACGCGATCTTGGGTCACTGCAACCTCTGCCTCTCAAGTTCAAGCAATTCTCCCGCCTCAGCCTCTTGAGTAGCTGGGACTACAGGTGCCCGCCATCACACCCAGCTACTTTTTTTGTATTTTCAGTAGGGACAGGGTTTTACTATGCTGGCCAGGCTGGTCCCAAACTTCTGACCTCAGGCGATGCACCCGCTTCAGCCTCCCAAATTGCTGGGATTACAGGCATGAGCCACCGTGCCCATCCCAAGCTTTATAAATTTTAAGAAAAAAAATTGAAACTTTTTTTTCAAATGTAGTGTATCCCTTTCACTAAATGATAATACAATTTAGAAAAATTCCTTTTTTTTTTTTCTAGTTGTACGGTGTCTGTGTGTGTGTGTGTGTGTGTGTGTGTGTAGGAGGAGGCTTCCAGTCGAAAGCGATATGGAGATATGGTTTCTCTTTGCTTTTGGTTGTAGAAGGTTCTTCTTTGGAATAAACTGAAAGAATGCTTAATCTAATAAACTAGGATATTTGCTTAAGGATCATTGCTATTGGCTCAGTTTACTCCTCTTCAGTGACTTTGGATTTATTACCATAACTAGGTATTTCCACCAGTCATGTCTTCGCTTAGAACAAATCAAATATGCACTGATAGGTTTCCTTATTGTTCTTCACACACTTTGAGCTTTTCTTAGATGATGTCTTTTTGTTTTTACAGGTTCATGAACCATCGAGCTCCAGCCAATGGCCGCTACAAACCAACTTGCTATGAACATGCTGCTAACTGTTACACACATGCAGTGAGTACAAGTTTTCTGCCATTGCCATCCTTTTCACAGGGCTTTGGCGGGAGGAAGGGGTAATTATCTCTAGTAACCTAGCACAATTAGTTGGATTTACCCATCTCTGTGACCTTACCTACCAGGAAATCAGTGCTGGGTCATGTCACCAGAAACTATGTAAGCATAGAACACTTGGTGTGTTCTAATCCACAGTCAGCTCTGTCCTGGGCTTGCTTTCTGCAACAAGATCATCTTTAAAGGAATAATAATAGTATGTACCCTAGCTGTAGAAAAACCAAAGACACCTGTTTATGAAGACTCTCACCCCTAGAATGCAACTAACTGTGTTTATTTTGCAAGGAGAGTTCACAATTTGTTGAAAAAGATGCTTTTTAAAAATTAAGTGGTCTTCTGAAATGGGGAGGGGAGCCATAGCCTCCCATCCCTACAGTGGCCACTGCATCCCAGAAGAGATGTTATTCCATATTGGTGAAGGAAAAGCTGATGTTATCCCTAAATGTTTTGTTAATTTTTTTCCTGCATTATAAAAGGAAAACATGCTCATTATAAGAAACTTTAAAAATACTGAAAAATATATCAGAAAAACAAAACTAACCAGAAATAAACTGTTAACACTTTGGTGCATTTCTCTCTCTCTGTGTGTGTGTGTGGGTGTGTGTGTGTGTGTGTGTGTGTGTGTCGGGGAAGGTTTGTGAATATGTATTTTCAGTTTTCCTGTTAATGTAAAATTAGTGGCATTTTCTTATGTCATTATAAATTTTACTTTATCTGTGGTTTCATTATTACCTTTTAAAGTTGCATTTAGTGACTTTGAGGGAAAAATAGTGGCTGGGAGATGGTCTGAAAACGAGAAATAGAGAAAAGATCAGTTTACTCCTTTAACAATGAGTGTTTAGAACAGGCTAGTTTAACTATGATAGACAGTGTTGGTACAATACAGTGGTTCACACAGCTTACCTTTAGGAATAACATTTACTTGGATGAACCTGAATAAGCCTTACTTGTCTCTTCTGAGTGTGTCACAGGTTAATGAACACTTACATAAACTGAAGTTAAGGGAAATCTGGTAAAACCTCCATATTAATTTTTTAGAACAGAAAATATAATCTTATTAAACAATACCTTGAATTCTTTCATTTCAGGGACCAATAATATTTCTAAAACAGGCAAAACACCTCTATTGCCATCATTTAATTAGAAGATACTTTAACATGAAAAAAGTAGAAAGGACGTGATCTCAACATAAAGGGCATTCCTTTAAATGAAATACATTGTGTTTTATGGAAAACTTTATTGTATTTAATCTTCTAATTTTGCTCTTGGGCCAATGAAAACTTACCATCTGAAAAACTCATGCCAGTCTCATCTAGGGGGATTTAATATTCTGTTGCAAGATGGCAAATCTGGGTTCGGGAAGAAAGGAAAAGATAAGTGAATTGCTAACGTTTGTATTCTGTGTCAAGTATGCTTATTCTAATATCTAATAAAGTAGTATATTCTCCTGGGAATTTCTGTTATTATAAGATGTTTAGTAGTCATAGTCATACATATATGACTAGAAATTAAAATTTGTGACCATGTGGACTATGAAATATGGTGCAGGAAGCAAAATTCTCTCTAAAATTCTCAAGATTTTTTGAATAGGTAAACCTTAGAAGGGGATTGCTCTTGCTTACTTAAAAGGTTCTGTTAAAAATGAAGTGACCCCAAAATGTTCACTCTGCAGTAGCAATCATATTGGCAGAATGTACAGATCCAAACTGAAAATCAGGATATATAAATTCAACAATTCACTTTCTGTATGTGTGTGTTGCTGTGTACATTATAATACTTATTACTTGATTTGTTCAGTTATCCTGTTCTGAAATATTGGGATTTCAGTAGCAGCAGGACAGATGTTCTAAAATGAGAACCTCCCTGAAAAATCTGGGTATGTGCTTGGAATTTTGTTTTGTTTTGTTTTTTGAGACAGGGTCTCACTCTGCCTCCCAAGCTGGAGTGCAGTGGTGCAATCACGGCTCACTATAGCCTCAACCTGTCGGGCCCAAGCAGCCTTCCCACCTCAGTCTGCCAAATAGCTGAGACTGCAGGTGTTTGCCACCATGTCTGGCTAATTTTTTAAATTTTTCTAGAGACAGGGTCTTGCTGTGTTGCCCAGGCTGCTCTGCAACTCCTGGACTGAAGCAATTCTCCTGCCTCAGCCTCCCAAAGTATTAGAATTACAGGCGTGAGCCACCACACCTGGCTTTCTTGGTGTTTGAATATTTTAAGGCATTACTCTAAATCAGATTATAAAGTAGAATGAAACATGTCCTTATTTAATGAAATTAGGATAAAGAACATCTGTTTTTTTTAGCAGTTGAATAATGTTGCATCCTTGATGGCTTAATTGTATCCCCATTGGTTGGCACAATTCCTGGGCCCTGAATGGCATTACCTGCTTTTCAGTGTAGCAGCTAACTTCATCTGGCTCTCTTTATGATTATCCAGGAGGGGCAAATACTTGCTTTAAGATTATTTTTCTAAAATTGTTCCAGGCAAACCTCTGTATTTTTAGCAAAAGAGTCAACTCCATAAGAGCCAGAATATTCCATTCATTACTCTTTACTGTTCCCTCAGTTCCTCATTGTTCCGGCCATTGTGGGCAGTGCCCTCCTCCATCGGCTGTCTGATGACTGCTGGGAAAAGATAACAGCATGGATTTATGGGATGGGACTCTGTGCCCTGTTCATCGTTTCTACAGTATTTCACATTGTATCATGGAAAAAGAGCCACTTAAGGTACAGTGGATGGCATGCTGTTTCAACAGATCCAAATAGTTGACTCACTATGTTTGGTAGCCTCCCACGCTGGCATGCTTTAGTTAAGTGAGGCAAAGGGTAGACATTTTCTGCCTTGTAGGCTAGAATACTCTCCTATGATTCACGACATGTTCTTTGGACTGGATGAAGTTTGAGGACTCCTCCCCAGTATGTATCTTAAAGGTAGGCCTTTGCTCAGTAGCCCCCACAAAACCTCACTGATTCCCTAGGACTTACCACTTAAAAACCTGAGAGCTATTTTCCAATACTATCAAGCACACTAAGGATGTGATGAGAGCAGCAGTGTGGGGTAGTGACAGAGCACACCGAGCTTGGAGTCAGCAGGCAGGCTTTGAGGCTCAGCCCTACTCTTTAATATTGGGTAAGTCACTTGACCTTGTGGAGCCTCAGTGTCTGTATCACTAAAATGAGAATAATAATACCTGAATCACATAGTCACTGTAATACGGGAATAAGATAAGGTACTTGAAAATAACTTGAAAATTACAAAAAAAACCAAAGGACTATATGAAGTATAGAGGCATACTTATAGTTTGGGTTTAGCATTTTGCAAAGTTTAGCTTTCAGCATTAAGTCTTGTGTATATTATTCAAATAAAATTCACATATTTTGCTATTAATAGCCGTCAAGCACTTTCAAAGCAATACGATAGCTCTTGGCCTGCCAAGGAGAAGAACATTAAAGCTTTCCTCCTCTGAGTGAAGGATTGATTTTGGAGCAGCACACCATTTAGGTGGGAATGTGTTGCTTGTGAAATGGATTCTGCATAACCCTGAAGGGCAAAACTTTTTTTCAAAAAAGGAAGATTCAGAGTGGACTATGAGCAATTTAAAGAAATACTGGAATATGCCTTTTGGTTTTAAAGAATGTCCAAAAAATACTCAAACTAGTCAATATGATATTTAAAAGATATGCCACATTTTTAAGCAGGATTTGAGATTTATGAGATGATTACTGGTTTCCTCACATGTAGAATCCTAGAGTTTTAGATCTGGGAGGATCTTTAGAAATCATCTAATTTAAATCACTTAATTTTTATTCGGGGGTACTGAGGCTCAGAGAAGTAGTCTGACTTGTCTGAGTCAGTGAAACCAGCAAAATCTGATTATCCCAAGACCTCTGACTCCAAGTCCTAGTTTTTTTCACCATATCTTTTACAATATTGCATATAGTTGGCAGTCTGCTACCCTTTCCTGTAAGGTAACAGTTTTCTGGGCTTAAAATAAAACCACAGCATTGAATCACAAGGGCGCTCTGGGACACACTCACAAGAGAACCACGAAAGTACCTGTCCTGGCTCCTCAGGATACTGTCGCAGCGCCCAGAGGCCAGTTTAGAAGCAGAATACTTTATTATCTTCTTGGCACAATTTAGTGCTTGTGGTTGTCTCAGCAAACTTGGCTTCGATGTCTAGATTCTGGATCAATAAAAAGTTGTAGGTACCTCTTTCAATATTCTTTGTCTCCCTGCCAGAGGCGTAATAGAAACTAGATTCTCTTGAACTTTGAATAGCACTGCTAGAATCGTAAGCCACATGTAGATTTTTGTTCTTCATTTAAATTTTTAAATATTAAAAAAGGCTTAATTTAAGTAAAAGGGAGAAGGGAATTAGCATTTATTATGTGCTCGGTGCTCCCATGTGCTAGATACTATGCTAGATACATGGCCTACATTACCTCATTTAATGTTCAACATAATCTGTGAGAAATATCTTATTTCCATTTTACCTGTGAGGAAAGTGAGAGTCAGAGAGGTCAGTGGCAGCTCTTGAATGAGATTCCAGGTCTGTCTACCTACTCTAACAACATATAACAATCTAGAAAGCAGAATTAGAAAGGCCCAAAACCTTGCTAGGAATCACAGTCATCCAAGGAGTTTTAAAAACTTGTTCTTCCCATTCCTCCACCCTCTATCTCACCTCCAAACCCTTCAGAATCTTTTGAACTGGAGTTCATCACTATATTTTGTAAGCTCCCCAGGTGATGATATGCAGTTAAGTTTGAAAAGCTTTGATTTAGTGCTTGCTTCTTTAGACCTGTAATGTAAAATATCATCTATGGGTAAGCTGTGGCTTCTGATGACTAGTGGACTGAAATCCATTCTTTCTCACAAATGTATTTCTCACATTTTTAAAACTTTTTTTTAATTTTTAATTTTTGTGGGTACATCGTAGGTATATATATTTATGGGGTACATTTTCTTTTTCTTTCTTTCTTCTTTATTTATTTATTTATTTTTTTTTTTGAGGCAGACTCTCACTGTGTCGCCCAGACTGGAATGCAGTGGTACAATCTCAGCCCACTGCCACCCCCGCCTCCTGGGCTCAAGTGATTCTTGTGCCTTAGCCACCCAAGTAGCTGGAACTACAGGCATGCACCACCACACCTGGCTACTTTTTGTATTTTTAGTAGAGACAGCATTTCACCATGTTGGCCAGGCTGGTCTCAAATTCCTGACCTCAAATGATCCACCTGCCTCAGCCTCCCAAAGTGCTGCGATTATCAGCGTGAGCCACCACACCCAGCCTTTATGGGAAACATTTTATCACTTATTCACACAAGTCCTTATTAGTTTGCTTTAGTCAATGTTATGTGTAGGGGGAGGCAAAGTCTAATACTAGTGTTCCCTCAAATTATACCTGCTTGGATACTGAAAATAGATTCAAGATGATACTATGAATTTGTCCTTTTAAATTACCTCAGTAAAGGGCAGATTCTGTCTAATCCATTTTATGAATAGACCACAGTGAACCAAACTCTTGATACATATACTCCTGACTTTTCAGTTTTGGAAGGAGGAACTTGCTTAGAAATACAGGTGGCTATGCTTTTACAGTAAATGTGCCTTTTGTTTCTGTTTTTGTTATTGCTTTTCCTAAGTCTCTGTCTCTGAATTTCTTTTATTACTACTTACTGTCCACAGTAGGATATTCAAAGTAAAAACTTTAAATACATTCTAAAAAGACACAAAGAATGTGATTTCAGCTCAGAGAGTGTTTACTGAGCATCAGGACTTTGCCCTGCACTGATAGGAGCCAGGGGGTGGTCTGCCTTCCAGGAACTTCATTTTTCTGTTAGGTGGGATCTAAAAGAAATGGAAAACATCAAAAAAGACAGATTTTTTTTGTTTGCTTTAACCACTTCAGACTTCCTATCATGGGGCTCTTGTCCCTATGTCTCATATACGCTGTGAGGCTGAGAGTATCTGTTGTATGTGCAACTTAAAAATAATAACAAAGCTTTTACTGATGGTTTCATAACATTAACAACAACAAAAAGCTGTGTGATCCTGGAAGATAAAGTATAAAGGCCATGAGAACTAGAACAAGAATGGAAATTGCAACATAGTGGAGTGATCACCCATACCTCCTCTCTGATCATTTTCTGAAAATTTTATTTAACTTTTTTTTCCCCCCTCACTAGGACAGTGGAGCATTGTTTTCACATGTGTGATAGAATGGTTATCTATTTCTTCATTGCTGCTTCTTACGCTCCATGGTAAGATACGGTCTTCCTATTTTTGAAGGTAGTGATTTTATGGTTAGAATTCCTCAGCCCTTCTTTCCTCCCTTCCTCTTGTCCCCACCCTCAGCCCTCATGCATACACCACCTCCCCTCCTCTGGAACATATACTTGCATGCATCTTTTTTTCCTTTTGATTTACTTGGGTCAGAATGCATATTTGAAGGGGAGAATATTGCTGCTGTCTATAAGATCAGGTCATTAGATTGTTCAAGAAGACGTGCTATGAACTGGTGTGTAGATAGCTTGCCCACGCTTGAAATCTGTAAACTTTGCTCTCCCTATTGTTTCCCTATACCTCTGCTATTGTTCACAACACTAGAAAATTGAATTGTTCAAGTGGAAATGCTGTCAATATGTATGAGGAAAGCAAGCTTATTTATTTATTTATTTTATTATTATTTTTTGAGACAGAGTCTCGCTTTGTCACTCACACTGGAGTGCAGTGGCACAATCTCGGCTCACTGCAACCTTTGCCTCCCAGGTTCAAGAGATTCTCCTGTCTCAGTCTCCCAAGTAGCTGGGATTGCAGGTGCCTGCCACCATGCCCAGCTAATTTTTTGTATTTTTAGTAGAGATGGGATTTCACCATGTTGGTCAGGCTGGTCTCAAACTCCTGACCTCGTGATCCACCCGCCTCAGCCTCCCAAAGTGCTGGGAGTACAGGCATGAGCCACCGCGCCTGGCCTATTTTTGAAATTGATACCATTTGTCTTCAATTCACCTCAAGTGCAGTAGGTACTATATAGCGAGTGTGTAAGAGAACCGGCCACATGAGTTATCTATTTAAAATACCTAATATTCTGTTAAGTGCCTTTGATCTTTCTGCCTTTTTGGTGCTGATCAAATATAACCTTTCATTGCTTTGAAACTCTTAAAGAAACATTAGCTTTCCTCTACAAGACATAATCCAGTTTTAAACACTCAGAAGTTTATATTTTGCTATCATCTACTGTGGTCATTAGAAACAGTATGCCTCTAGATTCTGGCTAATGCAGCATTAATCATTCAAAAGAAACCTGATTATCTGAAGGGGTAAAAAGTAAGTGCTATCTTTGCCCAGCATCTGACTAAATTATAGGTCTGCTTCATGTTGGAGGAAGCACACTGAAAGGCTTTTATGAATGAATAATAAGTGCCCAGAACAATGCTTATCTCAGTAGGAACCTATAGGGTGCAAACAGGATTCCTTACTTTACTTATTTTAAATTCTCCAATTTAAAATGAGTAAATGAATAAAAAGAATTCAAATGTGAGGTAAGGAGTTAAATATCATAGTAGGCAATTTTTTTACATGTAGTTTTAGATATGCAGGCTGTACTTTTTCCATTTGGAAATGTGAATTTTGTAGTTAGAGATAATCAGGACAACATTTGTTTTCTTCTCATTTATTCTTTTTGTTTTTATTTTTTTATTTTTTGAGATGCAGTTTTGCTCTTGTTGTCCAGGCTGGACTGGAGTTCAATAGCGAGATCTTGGCTCACTGCAACCTCCACCTCCTGGGTTCAAGAGCTTCTCCTGCCTCAGCCTCCCAAGTAGCTGGGATTACAGGCACGTGCCACCATACCCAGCTAATTTTTTTTGGATTTTTAATAGAGACGGGGTTTCACCATGTTGATCAGGCTGGTCTCCAACTCCTGACCTCAGGTGATCCACCCACCTCAGCCTCCTAAAGTGCTGGGATTACAGGCATGAGCTGCTATACCTGGCCTCATTTATTCTTTTTTTTTTTTTTTTTTTCTTTTCTTTTTGGGACAGAGTCTTGCTCTGTCACCCATAGGCTGGAATGTAGTGGCACAATTTCAGCTCACTGCAACCTCTACCTCCTGTGTTCAAGCAATTCTCCTGCCTCAGCCTCCTGAGTAGCAGGAATTACAGGTGCCCACCACCACGCCTGGCTAATTTTTGTATTTTTAGTAGAGACTGGGTTTCACCATGTTGGCCAGGCTGGGCTTGAACTCCTGACCTCAAGTGATCTGCCTGCCTTAGCCTCCCAAAGTGCTGGGATTACAGGTGTGAGCCACTGTTCCTGAACTTCTCATGTATTCTTAATATGAAATTAGTACAAATGGATTTGCAGTATTTTAAAATTTAGACCTCACAACGGTCCATGGTTAAATTCTAACAAAATGTCTTTCATAATATATGTTAGGAATAATTCTTCTCATGTTCTCTCTTGGCAGAGAGATTGATATGGAGACACTTGGTTTGTGTATTAGGTGTCCACTGTGGTATGTGATCCTGGTTCGGGATTTTGTTCCAGGTTCTCATTAAGCTTTGTAAGCAACCTACTTGCAAATACATGGTCAGAAATTAAAGGGCAAGCAGTCTTGACCTCATTCTGCTTAATAGGGAAAATCAGGCATCACAAGAGTGCTGGGACTCCTTTTTACTTTTCTGCCTTTAGCTGGTCCTATTTTTAAACCATGTTGAAAACTAAATTCTAAGTCTTTTTTTTCTCTCTCTCTTTTTTTTTGGCAGAGTCTTGCTCTGTTGCCCAGGCTGGAGTCCAGTGGTGTGATCTCAGCTCACAGGAATCTCTGCCTTCTGGCTCAAGCAATTCTCCTGCCTCAGCCTCCCAAGTAACTTGGGTTACACGCGCCTGCCACCATGCCTGGCTAATTTTTGTATTTTTAGTAGATACAGGGTTTCAGCATGTTGGCCAGGCTGGTCTCGAACTCTTGATCTCAAGTGATTCATCCACCTTGGCACCCCAAAGTACTGGAATTACAGACATTAGCCACTGCACCTGGCCTAATTCTGGGTCTTAAAGGTCGACAGACAAATTTGTCTTTAAGTTCCTTAATTTTACCTAAATTGCCCAAATACCTCATTGGTGTGTTGAGTACCTTTTCTTCCTGCTCTTACCTTAAGACTTTCTGAGTTTTCAATGACACAGGTTCTATGAATTCCCTTCATTTATCACTTCTGTTCTTTGTTGTCGTGTTTACATTTTTAGGTTAAATCTTCGTGAACTTGGACCCCTGGCATCTCATATGCGTTGGTTTATCTGGCTCATGGCAGCTGGAGGAACCATTTATGTATTTCTCTACCATGAAAAGTAAGAAAAAATAATTTACATTTGATAGTTTTAAAATCAACTGCCTAAATATTACCTGCATTGCAATACAATTTATTTTTATTTGTACTTCAAAATAGTAGAAATACATAAATAGAATGTTATTTTTAATAAATCTTCAAAACCATTTGGTATTCATTACTAGTGGAAAGATTGCTGTGGAAAAACAAAGAGTGGTACAGGTGGTATGATACAGTTGAGAGGACATTGTGACCAGCCCCTCTGGAGTCCATCAGACTTCATTTCTTTATCATGAGGCAGACCGGCCTTATCCCTCTGTGCTTCAGTCATCATGTGAGAAAAACAGCAACTTTTCAAGGTGTCTATGAAGACTGGAGAGAATAGATATTAAGTGCCCCGTGTAATACTTACCTAAAGAAGGGCCTAGATGGTATTCCAAAAAGGGTATCTTGAGAAAAAATATGTTGGGAAGGACATTGGAACTCTTAATATTCTAGCCCTGGAGTATAGCGTTTTAGCCAGTTATTCATAGCTGATAGTCCTAAGTATTGAGCAATATAAAAACAAAAGCTTATTGAAATTTTGCATCTTTGCTCTAGAGGAGACCTTCAAGGTTCCCAATTCCAGCTTCATGAACATTTAGGATATGCATCAAATTAGTGACTCATCTGGAAATTAGGACCCAACCGTTGCAGTTCTGATTCCATTGCTCTTTTCATTATCCTGTATATTTGAATTTGAGAAATGCACAACTGTGAAATCTTTGTCATTGGGTTTATTTACAGTTCATTAAATTCTTTCTCTATTGTGGTTGGCAGAATGGCTCTCAGAATTGAACATAATTTGTGTTTATCAGAAAGTACTAAATTGTTTTTCCCTTTCAGAAGGAGAAAATGGTAGTTTTGACTAACCTCTTTTTTGACTCTGAAATTCACTTAAATACCTTTTTGACCATAATTGGCAATGTGAGTAATGTTATATATTATAGTATATATAAGTCCAAGGGAACAGTTTGCTTCTTAGATGCAAATCTCTTATTTATATCCTCGGATAAAATACGAAGTCAAGAAAGGCAGCTATCTTTTCTCCTCTTCCCAGCCTTTTGGTGTAAACAAAACCCATAAACCCATTCTTCCCCTATATGATTAGTTCGTGGTAGGCTTTGAGTATAAAACATGATGAATGAGGTATGAGTCACCCTTGGCCATTCAATTTGGCAGACATTAGGGAGTACCTAAATTGTGTCAGGTACTATTCTAGGATTTACAGATCAAAACATAATTAAATCTTGGTTCCTGCCTTTGAGGAGCTTACAGTCTGCTTTGATTAGGCTGAAATGTAATTTGAATTTCAATACAATGTGTTTCTTGGGGTTTTTAGATTTTTTTGTAGTCTGTGTGATGAGCCTTAAAAATTACAGTTCGTGCAAGTGCAAACTAAAGAGACTAAACAAAATTACATGTCCTTTCCTTAGGGCTGCTGTTCTTTTTGCTGGTAAACTAGGCTCCAGGCTACATCTCCACTTACCTTCAGAATTTCACTTACAGCTCTGGATTGGAATGCTAATGAAAGCAAACACTCTAGGATCAGAAGAGGAAATATTTTACAAGGTGGAGTGGATTCAAAGATAACTACTTTTGGCAGAAAGCATTTTCTAGGTAGCATGTGGGATTTGACGCCTTTTCAACCCTGAAAGAAATGCTAGTTCCTTGTTACTCAACTACTGTGTTTTAGTTAGAGGCCTAGTGGTTGCCTATGAGAAATGACATTTTATTTAAATAGTTCAGAGTTTACATTTCTCTCTCAAAAGAAAAAAAGGAAAGGCTGATCTGTAAATTGTTAGGTGTAATAGAAATGTATAAGTTAAATTAACTGCATTTCTGTTCCTGCAGGTATAAGGTGGTTGAGCTCTTTTTCTATCTCACAATGGGATTCTCTCCAGCCTTGGTGGTGACATCAATGGTAAGACATGACTTCCAAATTTTAGTTATTTTCTTTTAAACTGCTGGAATGTAATATGGTTATAGATATGATATTTAGCTTTTCTTTCTGAAGTTATGTCCGTTAAGTAGAGACTCAAAAGAAAAAGAAACTTATAAGCAATGAAGTGTTTAGCTGGACATGGTGGCATGTACCTGTGGTCCCAGCTACATGGGAGGCTGAGGCAGGAGAATTGTTGAGCCCAGGAGGTTGAGGCTATGGTGAGCCATGTTCATGCCACTGCACTACAGCCTGAGCAACAGAGCAAGACCCTGTCTCAAAAAAATAATATAAATAATGAAGTGTGCCAGCAACTCGTCAGCTTGCACTAGGTATCATGTACAGTTTGGGAAAGCTATAAATTTAGGTATGTTTCTGTCTTTACGGTACTTTCCTGAATCAGAACCAGAGTAGGTTCAGAGAGACATTTTTCAAATCCCTTTAATCTTGCTTTTCCTTTACTTTGCTTTTAAGTCATAAGTCAAGTACTTTTTTGTTTGTTCTGTTTTCTAAGGTGAGCACTTTTTTTTTTTCCTTTCACTTTGCTTGAAAATTATCTTTTAGGGATTTTTGTGAGTAAGGTATAACATTACCTCTGGTAGGCAGTGGCATGTAAATATTTTGAATTCCCTTTCAAATTGAATTACTTTTGAGAAGTCTATGTGTATCTGTCTTTTTGAAACAAAAATATATTTTTACAACTTCATGATTCCATCCACCTGGTTACCAGGCCTTTAGCTTATGTATTCCAGTATCTTAGGCTCTACATTTCTTGTCACTAGGCACTATATTAACTAAGTAGGTCCCAATGTGTTTAGTTTGAACTCTTCTGAGCCTACAGTGGTCAGAACTGTTCTTATGATTTTAGGCACTTGTAAGAACCTTTTTTTTTTTTTTTTTTTTTTTGAGACAGAGTCTCACTGTGTCGCCCAAGCTGGAATGCAGTGATGCAATCTTGGCTCACTGCAACCTCTGCCTTCCGGTTTCAAGCTATTCTCCAACCTCAGCCTCCTAAGTAGCTGGTATTACAGGTGTGCGCTGCAATGCCTGGCTGATATTTTTATATTTTTAGTAGAGACAGGGTTTCACCATGTTGGCCAGGCTGGTCTTGAACTCCTGAGCTCAGGTGATGCACCTGCCTCCGCCTCCCAAAGTGCTGGGACTATAGGCGTAAGCCATTGTGCCTGGTTGTAAGAACATAATTCTGTGATAGTTTTTTTTTTTCCTGGTCACAAAAACACCTATAAAAGGTTTAAGAGTTTCAAATCTGGTTCTGTTTTTTCAGGGAATATGTCTTACAAGAATATAACAAAATACATTTCTTTGAGATATGAGGTTTATGATGGCTTTAATAATTACCTAGCACCCAAAATACATATAGATGGTAAAAGTAACAGGGAATGGTAAGGAGGAGGAGTTAAGTGACAGAAATGAGAAAGTCAGCCTTGAAGGCCATGTAGTTAGAGGGCATTTCAGGACACACAAAGCAATATAAGTAAGGTCTATGCAGCCTAATTATTAGAGTAGAATTTCAAGCAAATTCTCTGTGGGTATCATAAGAGCAGGTTTATCCAGTAATTTTACTAGCCTGATTTTTTCATTGACATTTCCGTAAGTGGTATAACAGCAGGTGACTAATGTTTATGATAATCAAGCAGGATGATTCCCACTCTCCCTTCATAGAACTTAGAGTCAAGCAGGCAAATATAGTTTCTATTAAAGAAAAAGGTATCATGAAATTTTATAAAGTATTTGATTGGGAAAAGTTCTGGCTGCTGTGGGAGCTTGACAGAAGTACCAGAGGAAGTGATATTTAAGCTGATTTGGAAAAACATGTAGGAGCCAAGAGATGGTAGGGGTGAGGCAAATGTTACAGGTAGAGAATACAGCATGAAGGAAGCCCAGAGAGGGGAAAGCACCAGCATCTCTGGAGAAATGAAAATAGCTCATTGGTTGTGACATAAAATTCATGTACCAGCTTGAGTTATGCACATATGCATGATGGGGGCAGGTATGCAGGTAGCACAAGTCTTGTATTAAAGCTGGAGAGCTAGACAGAGTCCTGATCAGACCTCATAAGCCCCTAACAAAGTAACAGAATGAATGAAGATGCAAATCTTTGGTTCTGGCCAGAATCATGGGTATCAGACTTACCCTTCTGGCATAAAGAAATGGAAAACTGGAAAAAGAAAAAAAGCAATGTTTTTTGGCTTTAAACACAAACAGTACAGGACTGTGATTCTTGAGGGAAGAGAAACCAAGAAAATGAGCTTTGAATTCACCCTAGTTGTTTCCTTGGAGACACTTTCCAAACAGCAACAAGAGGTAGAACCCAGAGAACAGCAGTCTGGGTGGAAGAAACAGAAATTAACGCTTCAGGCTACTGACAGGGCTGCAGGCTGCAGCTTGTGCAAGAGGAGGGAGCAGCTCCACAAACTGCAGATGCAGAGAAGATGCTTCAGAAATCTAAAAAGCAGTTTCCTTCAGTCTTTGCCCAGATATCAAGCAGAATTTGTGCAGAGCAAACCTCTGCAAGCTCCAGCTGCAGATAACTCTTAGAAGGCTGGAAGATAAATGGAAATTCCAGACGGTGCCCAGTGCTGGGAGACGCTGGAATTCCAACCAGCCAGAGTTCAGAGATGGTGCTGGACATTCCAGGAATTCAGTTGATCTGCCAAGGCTACAGCTTAGGAGTAGAGCTACTCTAGCCCTAGAGAGAAGGCTACTCTAGAACTGCTATAACAAGGCCCAAACCAACCTTGGAGGGATAAAATTGATCCTCTAGTAAATAAGCCACCTAATAGAGCAAAACTCAACAATTTTTAAAGGAATACAACAAGAATCTTTACTGTAACAACTTAGCATGAGTAAAGTAAGTAAATAGTAATATTATCAGAAATAAATACCTAATAATATAATAAATAATAAATATAAAATAAATGAACATTACCAGATAGGCAAGAAACTGGAAAGTGACATATACCTAAGGGAAAACAGATCAATAGACAGAGATCAAAAGATGGGAGAGGTGTTGATTCCTACACAGGGAGTTTAAAACAGAAGAAGAATCTCAGAAAATACATGGAGACTGTGAAGAAGAATCCACATGGAAATTCTAGATCTGAAAACTGTGATGTCTTGAGAAAAAAAAAATTACTGGAGTGATTTAATAACAGATTGGATACTACAGAAGCAAAGGTCAGTGAACTTGAAGCCAGGTCAGTAGAAACTATACAAAATGAAGCATGAGAGAAGAGGAGAAGAGTGATTTAAAAATGAACAAAAGGAGAAGAGATAGAGATTGAGGCAGTTTTTTGTTTTGGGATTTTTTTTTTAAAGAAATAATTGTTACAACTTTTCCAAAATGATGAAAAATATCAATTTGAAGCTCCACAAAGCACAAGGAGGCCTGAGCAGGATAAACACAAAGAAGACTACACTAAGACACATTGAAATTGAATTACTAAAAAACAAAGGCAAAGAAAAGACCTTAAAATCAGCCATAGAGAGAAAAACAAGCAAGGAGAGATGATGACCACTGACATTTTATCAGAATTCATGAGAGCAGGAATACAATGTAATGCCACATTTAAAATGCTGAAAGGGGCCAGCATGGTGGCGCACGCGTGTAATCCTAGCACTTTGGGAGGCTGAGGCGGGTGCATCACATGAGGTCAGGAGTTTAAGACCAGCCGTGCCAACATGGTGAAACCCCATCTCTACTAAAAGTACAAAAATTAGCTAGATGTAGTGGCGAAGCTCCCGTAATCCTGTTTACTTGAGAGGCTGAGGCAGGTGAATTGCGAACCCATGAGGTTGAGGTTGCAATGAGCTGAGATCAGGCCACTACAGTCCAGCCTGGGCAATGGTGCGAGACTCCATCTCAGTCTGTCAGTCAATCATTAAAATGCTGAAAGGAAAAAAAAAAAACCCTATCAACTTCAAGTTGATGTTAGCTCAGGTTAGCTCAGTTTAGAACATTGTCAAAAATAAACCAGGAAGGCCGAGGCAGGCAGATCACCTGAGGTCGAGAGTTCAAGACCAGCATGGCCAACATGGTGAAACCCCATCTCTACTAAAAATACAAAAATTAGCCAGGCATGGTGGCATGAGCCTGTAATCCCAGCTACTCGGGAGACTGAGGCAAGAGAATCACTTGTACTTGGGAGGTGGAGGTTTCAGTGAGCAAAGATCATGCCATTGCACTTCAGCCTGGGCAACAGACCAAGACTCTGTCAATAAATAAATAAATAAATAAATAACCAGGATTGCTAGAAATGATGAATTTCTATGTAAACATATGGCTGTTTTTCATGTCTTAATTCCTTCAAAAGATAACATAGGGATTTCTAACTTGTAGAAGTAAAGTACATGGTTAACAATAAATGGGGTGGAGAAATGGAAGTACACTGTTTTAAGGGTCTTAACTTTGTATAGGGGATATAGTAATAAAGGTATATTGTGATGAGTTAAGGATGCATATTGTAATCCATAGAATAACCACCACCACCACCACCAAAAGCAAAATAAATATTATAGTTAAGTAATCAAGAGAAAAGATAAAATGGAATCCCAAAGTTATTCAATTTAATCTAAAAGCAAGTGGGAAAATTGGAAAAAGGCAACAAAGGTTAGGTGAAACCAAATAGAAAACATAAAGCAAGATGTGAGGCCTAAATACAACCATACCAGTAATTACGTGTCTCATATATAATAGCAATTACATGACAGTGGACTGAACACTCCAATTAAAAAGCAGAGATTTTCAGACTGGATAAAAAAGTTATCTGTAAAATGGGGATAATAGTATCTAATTTAGGGCTGTTATGAAGATTAAATGAATAAATATATGAAGTGCTTCAAGCAGTGCCTGGAACATAGTTACCATAATGAGAGTGATAATGAAAAAAATTGTTTTGATTCAAAATTAACTATGTTCTAGGTCTTTGAAAGGTGAGGTCAGTGTGGTATCTTAAGAATGCCTGTGAACAGAATGTATGTCAAAACCAACCTGTGTACTTGGTTTGGTCTCTTGCTTGTTTTGGCAGAAAGAAAAAAAGGGGGTATTTTGGAACAGTGACAACCCATGTGATTTTGTTCAGGCCATTTCACTGCTCTGGCCTTAGTCTCCTCACCTCTGTAATAAGGGGGTTGTGTCAGATGAGTGACTTAACCATTTGGGAATCCTGTACCCCTTTGTGAATCTGCTGACAGCCTTACCCCATCCTAGAAAAGCGCTCCTAATACACACACAATAATTTTGTATAATGTGTATTCATTGCTGTATAACCTTGAGGAATTAATAACATCTGTTGTATTTTGTCTTTGATTTTACTTTTTAAATAAAAATAAATCTGGCTTAAGTCCTTTCTTCCCAAGGTTAGGGAGAAATCTGATGTCAGTCCATTTGGATTGGCTCCTTCTCCATCTTTTGATCTCGCACAAAACATGGGGGCTTCTATGAACTTTGAAAAAGGACTGGTGCACACAGCTGACTCTAGATCTTCACACCTGGTCATTAGCTCATGATGGTCTATTGTTGCCTTGCTTTTAACTGAGGCCCTTGGGACCCATTCTAAGTAGGTGCCTGAGTTAGAGCTTTCCTTTACTCTTGCTGGACTTGGCCATGGAGACCTAATCCAAGGCTCACCAGTCTGCTACCCAGTGCCTAGGCCTCTGTGACACCCACATACCTGTCCCCTTCCAAGGCCCTGCCATGATCTGCCTTAGGTTTCCCTGTACTGTGCAGAAGCTGTCTCCTTTATATTCCTAGTCCTCAGAAATCCAGGGCACTGACTTGCTTCTTCATCAGCTTCTAAGCATTGCCTCTATTCGCTCCCCTCATTCATGTAAGCCATTTTAATCTTGTATATGGGCCTTGGTCTTTGAAAACCAAGAACAGCCTAAAAAATTCTTCCTTCTGCTCTAAGACACACAAGAATGTTCAGTTATTGTTAAACTAAGCAATGCCCAGGCTCAAAGGCAAAAAAAACCTGGAGGCCTCTAGAAGGTTAGGAAATATCTTGTACTATGGGATCTATGATCTCAGAGGTCAATTCTAGTTATGATTTTCATGTGTGAGCCTTAAGGAATCTATAAGCTCACATAAGCAGGGGAAGTCTCAAAGAAGCAATCAGTGTAGAATAGTGTTTGAGAAGGACAAAGGGAAGTGAATACCCTGGGCTGAGATGTAAATTATAAATGGAATGGCTTGGGTCTGCCTTAGTAGGGAAGAAAGCATTTAAAGGAGAAGATGAGAACGAAGGATTGCACTTTATTAAAATGAACTTCCATGTCTGGCTATGACTGCAGTCTGTTTAGATATGCTGTAAATGAGCAGAATGTTCTGCTTTTTCTTTGGGGACCTGTAATGTGATTGCTTGCTAAACTCAAGACTGTCAGTCCAAAGGGCAATCCAGGTCAATGACTTTTTTAATGTTTGTTCATGTTTACAGATCAGGATTGTGTTCACACAGCTTCTTCATTGTCTTAGAAAATCAAGAGCCTTAGGGGGGAATTAGTTTATCTGTAGCTTGTCACAGCAGAGTAACATCAAACCCTTTTTATTTTCTTTTTCCCTTTTGACAGAACAACACCGATGGACTTCAGGAACTTGCCTATGGGGGTTTAATTTATTGCTTGGGAGTTGTGTTCTTCAAGAGTGATGGCATCATTCCATTTGCTCATGCCATCTGGCACCTGTTTGTGGCCACGGCAGCTGCAGTGCATTACTACGCCATTTGGAAATACCTTTACCGAAGTCCTACGGACTTTATGCGGCATTTATGACCAATCTGTACTAGGTCTCCAAACCAGTATTATTTCAATTATGGCACTTGAGAGTGAGGTGAGAGCTGAACATTGCACAGGGAAAGAAAAAAAAAAAAATACGATAACCGCACTGACTTTCTTTATATCTTTTGAATATAATTACTGTGAGAGTATAAAGGCTGTGCTCTGGAATTTTCCCCCTCACAGCAAATAAATATAAGGTAGTGAATTAATTATCCATTCCATTCCACTATTGTGAAGGACTCTGAATAGACTTGGCCAACTGATGTTTACAAACCAGAATTTTGTATTTTAGTTTTACAGATTTTACTACATGATTTTTCTAAATTACTATGTCAGGTTATAAAAGTCAGTGCAATAACAAAGCTTCCTTTTTAAGAAGAAAATTGTTTCTATCACTTTCCCATTCACTAGGTAAAGAATCATGAACAGAACTTACACTACTTTTTACCATGTTTCATCTTGGCATAACATGGTTCTTTTTTAAATAGAAACTTTAGTTTTTTGTAAATTTTTTAAAAAACGATTTCATTGAAACACATCTCTGCGGGTCCTCATTCATGTTGTGAATTTTTGCAGCAAGCAGTCAACATTCCACAAACGAACAAACATTATACCTCTTCTGATAGTTTTATGAAGCATGGAGAAATTGCCAATTTTTAAAACTACGGTTTTCCAAACTTTTTGCCAACCTCTTACTCTGAATTCAGTGCTGCTTTGAGACATACACTTGACCTAGCCTGTTTTACCAGTGATGGAAAAGTATTTTGATATCATTAACTTTTTCAAAAGATCCAACTTTATGCCTTTGCCACATTCTCTTCAGGGTCTCTTTCAACATTGGATGAGTATTTTGTCTGTATTTTGTATGTATTGGGACGGCCATCTGCTGAAACTCCTGAAGAGCATTATGTATTACAGTGAGCAGTTGTATTCCCTGTTTGGTGCCCAATGGTTAAGTCGTAGTCATTTAGCTTTATATTGTCAGTTTGATATTTATTTTAAATTGTGGAACTAGACACATAAATTCACATTTCTACCTTTCCTTTGCATCTTCCAATATAGTGTGTGTGTGTGTTTTTTTTTCCTAGAAAAATATTTAAAGCCTTGTTTGACAGGTAGAAACTCATGTATCTCTAGTCCATGAGTTATATCCTGGCTCAGTGGAGTGATATTTATGTATAATTTTTACTTTTTTCTTAGTGTCTTATATTAAGATTAACATATTATTAATAGTTGCTTTGCTGATTAATCTCTCTTGTCGGTGTTTTAATAAATGAAATAGCCTTGCCTTTAGATCAGGTGCTGATATTGCCTGTTTCCTAGTAATGGGCTTGATCAGTGGAATTTTTGGTTTGATGATAAGCTTATTAATTGAAATTTTTTACTGATGTGGCTTTAAAAGAGGTTTATTTTGTGTATGTTTAGAACTCTCTGACTCTGATGAATTATATGGGAATGAGAAACAGAAGTGGTATTTGCTGCTGAATTAAATAGGCAAGGTACCCAGTGATGACACCAACCAAACCACTCCTATCTGCATGATTCTGAACATCTAGATGCCTGTCGTTTTACTGTGTATATTTTATTTTTATTATATTAACTTTCTGTGGATTCATTTAAAGTCTCCTCAAAAGTAACACTGTCAAAACCAGTAATATATATGTAAAAATTGTGCTGTAGACTACAATAAAACTGTTATTGGATTTGTTCCACTGTCTCTAAATTAGATGATTGTGAAAATAATAATGCATATTTAAGAGTTCAAGCTCATCCAGCAACTGTAATTTTTGTATTAGTCTTTTTTTTTTTTTTTTTTTTTTTTTTTGAGATGGAGTCTCGCACTGTTGCCAGGCTGGAGTGCAGTGGCACAATCTTGGCTCACTGCAACTTCTGCCTCCCAGGTTCAAGCGAGTCTCCGGCCTCAGCCTCCCAAGTAGCTAGGACTACAGGTGTGTGCCACCATGCCCAGTTAATTTATGTATTTTTAGTAGAGATGGGGTTTCACCATGTTGGCCAGGATGGTCTCAATCTCTTGACCTCATGATCCACTCACCTTTGCCTCCCAAAGTGCTGGGATTACAGGAGTGAGCCCCACTGCACCTGGCCTATATACTTGTCCTTAAAAAAAAAAGTCTGAATGGAAAGAAAAACAAATATGTCTTGTCACTTAGAACTTTCTAGTCTACTTTTTAATAATTGAATTGCCAGAGCCAGCTCAAATGTTAATCAACAGACATTTTCAGTTTAAAATATACTAGTCAGGAACTAATGACTTCAAGCTTTGTAGATGATGTGTCTTTACCAAGAGAAGCTTTTTGGTTTAGCATATTTAATCTATAGGACTGAGGTTACAGGCTTTTATATTACCAACCGGACAAGTATCAGATTATAAACCTAACAACTCTCCAAGTGTCAGATGTCATTTCTACCTCTTCTATAGTGCTGGAAACCAGGGCTAGAGAAGTTTAACTGCTTCATCCTAAATCAGGGAGCTGGAACAGCAGCCAGCTCTGTCTGATTCTGAAGCCTCCCAATCACTGTATACCACTGCATTTCCAGAGTCAGCAAAAACAAATGAAAAAAACTTGATCTGAAAATTCATCAGGCATGGACACAGAAAGAAAACACTATTCACGTGGTTTAGAACCTCAGTAAGCCCTCAGACAACTCTCCTTCAAAATTAATTTTGAGCATTGAATGTCTTCAAGCATTATTATTGCCAAGAGTTCTGTCCTCTAGGTCACTGAGGTGACCTCATCCATTTCTAGAGTGTCCCCACTATTGTGCTGTCACCTTCCTGGTCAGTATCTCCTGTCTTAAACTATTTTCTTTTCTTTTTTCTTTTTCTTTTTTTTTTTTTTTTTAGACAGAGTCTTGCTCTGTTGCCAGGCTGGAGTGCAGTGGCACGATCTCGGCTGACTGCAACCTCCACCTCCCGGGTTCAAGCAGTTCTCCTGCCTCAGCCTCCCGAGTAGCTGGGACTACAGGCGCGCACCACCATGCCTAGCTAGTTTTTGTATTTTTTAGTAGAGACGGGGTTTGTTGGCCAGGATGGTTTCAATGTTGGCCAGGATGGTTTTGATCTTTTGATCTCATGATCTGCCCGCCTCGGCCTTCCAAAGTGCTGGGATTACAGGCATGAGCCACTGTTTCCGGCCCTTAAACTATTTTCTAAGGACTAGACCTCTCTCTAATCAGCTGCCTAAATGCTCCCAGACATACTGACTCAAGCCATCCCAAACTGATTTCATTATCTCTCCTCATCCTACCACCAAACCTATTTTCTGAAATTTCCTAACTTAGTTAATGGCATGGCCACAGCCATCTGTTCATTCATCCATCCTTGATTTCTTGCACCCCCCCAGATCCAACAGGTCAGCCAGAACTGTCATCCTGCTTTTCTCACAGCTTCCTGATCTGGTTCCTCACCTCTCTTCGCACTGCAAGGTCCTAAAAAGACCTACTTAGCAGTCATCAGACTACAGCAGCCACCTCCTCATTTGTATCCCTGCCACCGCTTACACCCCTCAAATGAGCTCATCCTCCACACTGTACCAGCATTATCTTCCTAAAATAAAATCTGAGCATGTGTCTCGTTGCTCCAAAACTTCCACTGACTATTACCCTATGAGATTCACGCCAGATGCTTCAGCATGGACTCTTCACATGCTGACTCCGCCTGATCGGCCCTCTCCCCAGCTGAACCCCACTTGACATCAGCCCCGCTAGTGATTTTCACAGCCTCCCCCACAACACACATGCCCTCATGGTGCTTTTGCAGCTGTGCGTTTGTACCTGCTGTTCCTTGGCCTGAACTGCCCTTACTCCAGCCCCTTTCCCACCTGGCAAATAGTTGCTTATTCCAAGCAGGTGCTACCCACCTCCCTTGTGCCATTGACCAAGTCCCCCCCACCCCCGCCCGGGCATGATGAGTGACGCCCTCCTTTGACCTCACAGCATTGCTATTCCTTCGTGGCCCCTGTCATGGTGTTCTGCTCTTGGGGCTGAACTCTTTCAGGCAGAGACAGAGTCTCATCTACTTCTGTTCCTAGCTTCTAGCATAGCACTGGCTCATGACAGGAGTGAAGAAGCTTTGTTGAATGAAAGGGGTGGGTTGGGGGAAAGGTTGGAGAATGGTGCTGTGGAAGGGAAAGACTGAGAATAAAACATTTTTTAGGACAGACTTTGGTTTTAGCAAGCTTATTCTGTCCTTCACAAGCAGTCTTCCTGGCCGGAATCTGACTTTCAGCTTCCTTGGCCCTAGAGGCTTTTTTTGACCACAAGGGTCAGCTAGAACATTCATCGCAACCGCAGGCAAGTTGATGAGAAAATGGAGTGTAAATATTAGAAAGTATGTCCTAGAGAAGAAAAAGTCCAGCATGTTTATTGGTGCTTTCATAGAATAACTATCAACAATTTACAAAATTATTTTGGAAAAAAAGCATTTGGCCTAACTTACTTCCCTCTGGTCCTCTTTTCTGAATATAGCAATAAAATAAATCAAAACAATTGTACTGCAAGTGTTGGGTCCTTAGTGCAGATTATACTCAAGAAGCAACAACTTACATTTTTAAAAAATATTTTGAATATTTTTACTCTAAAAATCATACAGCTATATTAAACCCTTTGGAAAATAGAGAAAGCTAAAAATTATCCAGCATTCTCTTACCACAATATATTTTAATATACTTCCAATCCTTTATTTCCCTATTTTTATTATACAGCTATCAATGTGCCACATATGTAATTTTATATACCCTTTCCCACTTATTATAAGCATTTAAAAATACTGTTATAGCATTCATAGCAAGAATTTACAGTGATTCCATCATCTTTCAGACCTGGATATTCAACTTATTTTGCTTAATCATTTGCCTAACTAGATTTTTTATTATAAACAATGTTGCAGTGAACATACAGCTTTGTCCATATTTATGACTGGGTTTTAAAGGTAATAATAAGAAACAATTGAGTGTTTCTTATGTATCAGGTATTGTGCTATTTTACATGGATTATCTCATTTTATGTTTACAAAAAAAAGTATTCTTCTTCCCATTTTACAGATGAGGAAACAATTACAGATGAATGAGTTTTCTTGCCCAAGGTAAGTGGCAGAACCCGAGTGAACCGAGGAACCCTAGAGGCTGTTTTCATTTTTAAGAGAGCAATTCCTGGGGCAAAGGTTTATTAATGGGTTTACCCAAAGAAGACCTTTTAAAAATAGAGCTCATTTCCAAAGCTCATTTATACTTGGCCTCTTCAGTTTATGTCTACTCTTCTTACATGCCAATGAGATGGAGAGTGGAATAGGAAAATCTCCAAAGGAACTGACCTCAAAGAAGCTGGCTTATCTCCCTCCTTGTGCAACACAACAAAAGTTTCTCAAGGGGCTCCAAGGAATGTTTTTAGTTTAACAAGGTTAGAATTATTGCATTCATGTCTTTCCACTGCTTTTGCTATTTTAAATAGACAGTGCCAATATGTTCTTACATTCTGTGCCATTACCACCTACATCCCTGCAATGGATTGGTGGTGTTATTTTTCCAAGAAACAGTGCCACTGTGCACTCTCTCCACTTTGCAAGGGAAGTTAAGCTATTCTCATCAGGGGCCTGTTCAACACAACAGAACGCTTTCTCATTCTGCCATACAGCTCATTATCACTCATGCTTTCACTGCAGTCAGACTTGTGAAGTCAAAATAGAATGGCAAGGCATAAGGGGGGCTTGGGAAAGTAGGCTTTGGAGCCTTGCCCTATATCCTGGGAGAGGTCACAGTTCCTCGGCTGTTCTGCAGCAGGTCACACTGAACACACCCAGTCTACTGTGTCAGTCACTAAAAAGGTCAGGAAAATGTTTTGATCACTAGGATTTAGTTCTCTTAACGTCACAGTAGTGTTTTTTGAATCTCATGTATGAGCTGTGTGTTGAGTCAGGGTAGAATCAGACAGCCTGTGACAAATTGGCTGGGTGAGCTTCGGCAAGTTTGGTATTACTTTTGAACTTCAGTTCCTGTTTGCAAAAGGGGTATATCACGTCTCTTGCTGCGAGGTCATAGGGATTAAGTAATATATTGAAAGTGTCAAGTTTATGCAGTCTGCCATATGATTGACACTGAGTAAACAATCCTAGTGCTTCCTTCCCATATGGCTGAGCTTTTAAAATAATGGTTATAGCCCACCTGGGGATATTTTCCATGCACAAACAACCTGAAAAACAATACCACTCTTAAAATTGTTCTGTGCGTTTTCTAGCTCTTACAAATGGTTCTGGATCAAATGATGGCCAAGGCTAAACTGAGGTATGTGGTCACTCCAGGCTTTCTAATAATTTTGCGTCATTTTAAACAATGTTCTTTAAATATTCAACTTTTTTTTTTAGACAGAATCTCACTCTGTCACCCAGACTGGAGTGGAGTGGCACTATCTCAGCTCACTACAACCTGCACCTCCTGGGTTCAAGCAATTCTCCTGCCTTAACCCCCTAAGCAGCTGGGACTACAGGTGCATGCCACCACACCCAGCCAATTTTTATATTTTTAGTAGAGACAGGGTTTCACCATGTTGGCCAGCCTGGTCTCGAGCTCCTGACTTCAGGTGATCTGCTGGCCTCTGCCTCCCAAAGTGCTGGGATTACAGGCATGTGCCCGGCCAAATATTCAACATTTCTTTAAACAAGAACATGAGTATTCACAGAGAAAGGGTAGCAAAGGAG